TTGCATTCACCAAAGAAAAATCAAACAGCTTATCTCATAATTACCAGATCAGTATCTCGTAATTATGGTTAAAGATCTCCTAATTACAAGATACTGATCTACATATTTGGTAATGATTACTTGAGTCAGTAATGAAGCATCTCTTAGCTTCATGGTCTTCATAATTAGAATTAGATAAGGATATTCAAATCTGTTCCACTGAGCAGTTCTCTGTACCGAGGTCTGACCTGATAGACGCTGGAGTTTCGCTCCTGTTTTCCACTTCATCAATAAAATACCCAGCTATAACCCTGTGATTACTACTTGTGGAGTAATCATGCAGCCATATTACCATATGCGAAAATCCTTAAACAGCTCCATTAATACAGATTCCATTTGGTTTTAGTCTTTCATATATATCGACATCCTGCATGAAGTTGGGACCTGGTCGTTTTAAACAATTCTGAAGCTTCAGCTGTACTCCATGAGGATCTAGGATTTTGAGAAGGTATCGGCAGACAGTTCTTTTTTACACCACCAAACCAGCTGAAATGCATTTCAGATTATTTAATTTATCGCTATAAAGCATCCCGTGCTGGTTTATATGCTCCTGCAGGAACGGAGCCACTTCCAGGCTTTTTTGCCTTAACAATTCTAAGGACTTACTGCGCAATGCTGACAAACTAATCATCCACATTGTGGAAACTCGGTATTTCCCAGTGTCGCATACCTAAAAGGAAATAAAAGCAGATTAAATCCGACAACCCACTCATTGTTCACGTTTCACGAAGCTCAACAATGAGTCCTTCTGATCTCCTATATATGACATATTATCTTGTAATTATGAGACAACAATCTCATGTTGAGATTAGGATTATGAGATTTTTTTCCCATAATTACGAAATCGGAATCTCATAATTATGAGAAAAAAATCGCATGTTGAGATTAGGATTATGAGATTTTTTTCTCATAATTATGAGGTTCCGATTACGTAATTATGAGAAAGAATCTCATAATCCTAATCTCAACATGCGATTTTTCTAATAAATATGAGATTTTTTTTCATAATTACGAGGTTCCGATTTCGTAATTATGAGAAAGAATCTCATAATCCTGATCTCAACATGCGATTTTTTTTCTCATAAATATGAGATTATTTTTCTCATAATTACGAGGTTCCGATTTCGTAATTATGAGAAAGAATCTCATAATCCTAATCTCAACATGCGATTTTTTTCTCATAATTATGAGATTTCTTTCTCATAATTACGAGGTTCCGATTTCGTAATTATGAGAAAGAATCTGATAATCCTAATCTCAACATGCGATTTTTTTTTTCTCATAAACATGAGATTATTTTTCTCATTATTACGAGGTTCCGATTTTGTAACTATGAGAAAGAATCTCATAATCCGAATCTCAACATACACATTTTTCTTATAAATGAGATTATTTTTTTCATAATTACGAGGTTCTGATTTCGTAATTATGAGAAAGAATCTCATAATCCTAATCTCAACATGCGATTTTTTTCTTATAAATTAGATTTTTTTTTCTCATTATTACGAGATTCCGATTTCGTAATTATTATTAGAAAGAATCTCATAATCCTAATCTCAACATGCGATTTTTTTTCTCATAAATATGAGATTTTTTTCCTCATAATTACGAGGTTTCCGATTTTGTAATTACGAGAAAGAATCTCATAATCCTAATCTCAACATGCAATTTTTTTCTCATAAATGACATTTTTTTCTCATAATTACGAGGTTCCGATTTCGTAATTATGAGAAAGAATCTCACAATCCTAATCTCAAAATGCGATTTTTTTTTTCTCATAAAAATGAGATTATTTTTCTCATAATTACGAGACTCCGATTTCGTAATTATGAGAATCTAATTATGAGACAGGCTGTCAGATTTATGTTTTCTTTGGTGAATGCAACGCGCTTCCCTATATAGCAAAACAAAAAGCACATTTTTATATACTTATTTTTTTTGCTTCACCACTAAATTGAATATAGGGAAAATGAGCCCAGTAAACAATATTTAATGGGAAGTTGAGAAGGTTTTGCAGTAACAGAACGTTTCAAAAGTAATAAAACTGTTGTAGTAGTGGAGATAAACCTCTACATGCATGTGGTTAGTGTGGGAGAAAAACAAATAAAATCACAATATTGGTTGCAAAAAAAAAAAATCTGGATTTCAAATTTTGGCAGAATTATTCACCCCTATGCATTAATATGTTACGGTATAATAATTCCCCAGTTAAAACGGCTGTAGATGGTTTAGCATTAGAATTGGTTATGGAACCCAGTGAAGCTTTATTTCAGGCAACGTTTCTCCAAATCTGCGCAAAGTATCTTAAACATGGAGGCTGCAGCTCCTTATTTAACATCTTTTTTTTATTGTGGATAAGGTCTCCTCCTAAACCATTGAAGCGGTGAACTCTGTATCCAAGCTGAGTTTTTCTAGAAGCTGCTGGTGGCCAGGCTCATTTTGAAACGTACTGGTGTTTGTGTTCATGAAGACTGTTCCTCAATCCCACACCTGGTCACTCACTCATGTTCCTCCACTGGGTTTTCTCTGGAGCAGTGCGACAGCGACTCTTAGCAATGATTGGTTCCTCCAGACTGACGCTGAGGGTGATACCCACTCCCTCATCAACTGGCCTTCCAGGTACACCACACAGGCTCTTTGTGTGTCATTTACTTCACCTTCATCAAGCTTGACTAAAAGCCAGACCCACCATCCTTCATGAGCAGAACTTCCCAAACTGCTCACCTTCCTGTGAGTCTGGACCATCATACTGCTAACTGCATATGGGTGCTGTCCTACGTGGAGGAACGCTGCTGTTTAAGGATGCCTGCATTTAGATTTGAAGTCATCTGACATCATCATCATCCTCACTATACCTAAGTGCCCACTGGTTTTTAACATCATCTCCCCTTCATCATCCTTTATATAAAACATCACTGAGAAACTTCTACGCTCTCTACATGCTAACGCCCCTTTATGCTGATAACCTGGAATGAAATCCAGTGAATTTCCTTCAAATGACCAGTTTGTGTAGTTTGTAAATGTCTGAATGTTGTTTATTCCTGCTACCCTGCTACCCTACTGTTCCACAGGTTTATTGGAAACTTTTGTTTCCAGGGCTGAAAGAATTCATTAGATTAAACGTGATGAATCGATTATTGAAATAATCGTCAACTAATTTAGATATTGATTAACTGGAGTGTAGAGAGTCTGAAACGTGTCTTTAGCTGACAGAAGGTACTATTTAGAGCAGCAATTATACCAAGATGGTAAAATAAATGTACAAATATTTTGTTTTTTAAGATTAAAAATTGTTTTTGTCTGTCAGTATGCTCTATCTAGAGCTCCTCAAGTAGAAAAGTTTTGGATTCACCAGGTTTGATTTCGTAAAAAGTCTTCTTTAAGAGACCTCTTGCTATCCGATTTTTAATCGATTCATGGGAAAATAATTGTCTGTTAACTCCTACTATCCCTGATTCAGTGCGGTAGCTTCTGTATCCTTCAACTTAACGAGCTTTAGCCTTTTTAACCCATTTATTGTTGAATTAGCCTGATACCAGATTAAATAGAATATTTGAACATAATGAGGTGCTTTGTATCAAGTACATTTTCTTCCATTATTGTTGCAAGCAAAGAACATATTTTGTAAACATAAATATGAGAAAACTGCAATCCAGAAATGAAACTTCCTAATAAAGAAAAAACTAAACAGTAATTTTATTTTAGTCAATTTTTTTACTTTATTTATATTTAACATATTTTTTATTCACCTTTGTTATTCAGATTGAAGTATACTAAGTACACTTTACAGATCCCCATCTCTTTACTTTATAACAATCCAAACACTAACATCCATGCAAAAGATGCCCCCTGAAATAAATAGATTGTTATGCTTAAAACACAATTGGAAAAGAATGCAATTTGTAAAACTCTTAAAAATTTAAAATTAAGAAAAAAAAAATAACTGGAAGAAAACCAAATCTGAGAAAACATCCAAGGTACTTTCATTTATTAAGTTTTCTAGTTATATTTCTGGACTGCATTTTGCTCATATTTCTGGTGCAAAAATGTAGTGTTTTTTTTGTTTTTTGTTTTTTGTTTTCCCCATTTACAAAATTTGTACTTTGCTTGAAAGAATATTGGAACAAACTTTACTCCATACTCTGTTTCTTGTCAATGTAAGGAGATGCATGAGACGAATAGGAACTAACATTATAATTTTTTTCTTGGACATTTTCGGAGCCTTAGTAGGGATGCACGATGTGCCGATATTTTAAAACTCATGTAGCCGATAACCGATATCGATACCGATGTTAAAGCTGGACAAAATTAAGTAGTCATTGAAAATAGCTGTTTTGTTATCCATTTCTGACACTTTGAA